AAGATGTCATTGAGGTGAGACTAAAGATGTCATTGAGGTGAGATTTATGATGTCAATGAGGTGAGATTAAGATGTCATTGAGGTGAGACTAAAGATGTCATTGAGGTGAGACTAAAGATGTCATTGAGGTGAGACTAAAGATGCCATTGAGGTGAGATTTATGATGTCAATGAGGTGAGATTAAGATGTCATTGAGGTGAGACTAAAGATGTCATTGAGGTGAGATTTATGATGTCAATGAGGTGAGATTAAGATGTCATTGAGGTGAGACTAAAGATGTCATTGAGGTGAGACTAAAGATGTCATTGAGGTGAGACTAAAGATGTCATTGAGGTGAGACTAAAGATGTCATTGAGGTGAGACTAAAGATGTCATTGAGGTGAGCCTGTGGTCGTTGACATATGACTGTTCAATTTAGTTGTTTTTTTAAATACACTCCAAGCTTTATTTGAAGTTCCTCGCATTTTTGCCCATGCACCGACGCAGTCAGCCTAAAATGGACTCTACAGATAAATTCCGTCAGACGGATGTGACGTAAATGCCCCCTCGTGCATTTATTGATCGCCACAGCATGGTACCCGACTAAAGATTCGCCTCTGAACGAGCCTCAGAATGGTACCTGACTAAAGATTCACCCCATAACGGTACCCGACTAAAGATTCACCACAGAACGGTACCCGACTAAAGATTCGCCACAGAACGGTACGCAACTTTGTGTGTCGACATTTTCTTTGATTATCTCGGGAAGATGAAACATTGCCACATGGTGTTCGATATTTGACTCATCTAACTCCATTTAGGATCATTGACAGATTGACCACGGACACGTTGAAGATACAATTCTCTCTAATTTTTTGTATTTCAACTGAGGCCAGTGTCATCGTAATAGATCTATAGGCATACATTTGATTTTTATACGATTGTACGGTAGAAAGAAAGAGGTTTACTCTCATGGGAGGTTTAAATCTTTTAGTCTCGGTTTTAGTCTACAGCAAGAAACAAATTCTTAGATTAACCTTGAACCCAAACCTTTGCGTTGCAGAGTACACAAAAGTCGATAACCTCGTCCAGTGGGTGAGTCTGAATTCCCCAAACTGGTTCACCCAAGAACTCGGTGTAATGTAAGAAAGGGGGAGGGGGGGCAAGTACGCCAGGGAGACACATACACGGGAGTGTGGGGGGGGGGGGGGGGGCAGTGACGATGGAGTTCTAATAAAATAGAATTAAAACATCAAAATAAAATAACATAATGTCAAGCGTTTAGAAAATTGGTTTAACATTGTATTGTGCAAGTGGCAAATCAATTTTTTTTTTAAAGTTAAAAAAATAATTGTAACGAGACAAAGGGAGAGTCAGGGGGAGGGGGAGTGAAACGGGGAGAGAGGGAGTGAAAGAGAGAGGAAGAGAATTAGAGAGAGATATGGGAGAGAGGGAGAGAGCGACGGAGAGAGATGGGGAGAGAGAGAGAGGAGGAGATTTGGAGGGAGAGAGAGAGAGATGAGAAGGAGATACAAAAACTGGGGTAAGAGTAGGAAACCAGAGAGGTAAAACAGAACAGAGGGAGAGAAAGAGGAGAGAGATCGAAAAAGAGAGAGAGATAAAGAGAGGGTGTAACAGAGAGAGAGAGAGAGAGAGAGAGAGAGAAGGTTATAATAGTGTACTTAATGTAGCGTGCAAAATGTCTTGTGTCAAGCTTGTAATTAAGTTTCTCGTCGTTCTCAAATACACAAACACTCTTATTGACACACACGACAGTTATTATTCTCCTCCAGTGCAGAACAATTGGACTACGGCCATGCAGATGTACACATACTTTCAGCTTGACAGTAGATGTCAGTCAGGATGACTTTCGGGGTTATGATGTGCAGAAGATAGCATGATGACTTGCAGGATTATGTGCAGCTGACAATGGATACATCTTCTAGTTGTCACAATCTGACGCGTGGCATATGAATGTGTCATTGAATTACGACATGTCTACACTGACATATGAAATGTTTGCCTCGTTTTGGTCTGTATCAAGTTCAACTAGGATGGGGGGCCATATTGAATGATGCATTTATGGCTCTGAAATGTTGAACAAAAATGGGGGCCATATTGAATGGTGCATTTATGGCCCTGAAATGTTGAACAGAAATGGGAGCCATATTGAATGATGCATTCATGGCCCTGATATGTTTGAAAAAAGGAAAGCCATATTGAATGATACAATTTTGGCCCTGATATGTTGAAAAAATGAGAACCACATGGAATGATACAAACTTGACCCTAATATGTTGAAAAAATGAGAGCCATATTGAAATGATACAAACGTGGCCCTGATATGTTGAAAATATAGAGCCATATTGAATGATACAAACATAGCTCTAACATGTTGAATGCAATGGGAGCCATATGAATGGATGCAAACATTTCCCATAGATGAAATATCACAGAGTGTCGACAATACTTAGTGGCACGTCCTTTGTGTGCTTTACAAATAATTTTTGGTGCAAAAAAAAAAAAAAAATTGTATAAACAAAATGAAAAGTACACATGAATGTGACAAATACATGAAATTAAAAAAAACATAAATGTAAACAAATACATAAAAAAATGGGAGCCATATGAATGGATGCAAACATTTCCCATAGATGAAATATCACAGAGTGTCGACAATACTTAGTGGCACGTCCTTTGTGTGCTTTACAAATAATTTTTGGTGAAAAAAAAAAAAAAAAATTGTATAAACAAAATGAAAAGTACACATGAATGTGACAAATACATGAATTTGACAAATACATGAATGTTAACAAATACATAAAATCCAGAGTCTTCCACATAATTTCACGAAAATACGCGTAGGGTAAAATTTGTCGTTTAACAAACATAAACAGGTGGCCAAAAATAAAATGTTTTGTCACCATGGTGAAGTGTTCAGAGGGGGATACGTGGTGAGGTTCTATCACAGGGCTGTACCAGGGGCGGAGATGATCAGATATTCCTCCCGGGGAGCGGGGTGGACACCCCAACTTCTGTCGGTACAACGAAGTTCAAAGTGTTTCCTTCAGAATTGGCGCGCCCAGGCCATCGAGGCATGACAGATCCGGGCCTCGTGTGGACGACAAAATCTGGGTCCCTTTTTGTTGGTCACTCTGTATTACAGCAGGGTGGTCCTATGTTCCGATGGAATGTCTCCAGGACATGGTCGACTGGACTCCCAAACAAGAACAATGTGGTCAAGTGTAGACCGGAAACAGCTCAAAGAAAAACAGAAACCGTTGTCGAGTAACATCCTCATTTCTTGGGCCAAAGTGCTTCCACCGAGAACAGGATGTCCGCTATGTTTCCGTCCAGCAGCGCGTCGTCCAGAAACACCGGGACTTCCGGGATTTTGACGACCGTCGGCGGCGGCTTGGCGAGAGGGCGTGGCACGGCGAACGGCGTGGACAGGAAGCCCGGAGGGTTCGGATCCGTCTGCAGCGACATCTGGCGCTCGAACTTTGCCGGGCGGCGCGTCCAGGTGTTCAGGGAAAGAGACTTGGCCCCGAGCTTTTTGCGGGAGGCGGTTGTCACCTCCGTCTGCGGCGGCGGGGGGACCACATCGTCGTCCTCTCGGGTCAAGACCAGCTTCGGGATGTTCTCGAACCGCGGCATGACGGCGGGCGGGGTCAGGTCGAGCAGGCTGACACTCTTCCGCTTGGGGCGGTGGTTGAACGCGCCTTCGAACATGGCGCCGTCGTCGTACGCGTCGAGGTTACCCGTGCTGGAACTGATGGGCGCGCCGTCAAGATGTTTCTTAAAACAATTTTTTCCCATGTTGACGGTCAATGGCAGGAAAGGGGAACTCCTTCCCGGGTAGCCCCTCCCCTTGTAGGCGGAGTCATAAGCTGACATGCTCCCCAGCTCGCTGTCCCTGTCCGTGTTGCTGTATAAACTCTCCATGGAGGCGTTCTTCAGCTCCGGGTCCTCTTCCTCCTCGAGGTCGTCGCTGAATGTGTTCTGCCTGGAACTGGCCCCGGACTTCCACGCCGACTTCGGGTCGAGGAAGTCCTCCGACCTCATGGAGCCCTTGCACCGCGTCAGCTCCGAGCTTGCGTGGCTGTCGCCCGACGCCGAGTTTTGCCGCAGGTTCGGCGCCCTTCCTCCTCCTCCTCCCGCGCTGCTGCTGGCCGCGCTTCCGCTCACATTGGTCGTGCTCACCTCGAGGAAGTTGCTCTGCGAGCCGACCCCGCAGACGCGGTTGAGCTGCGACACGAAGACGGAGGTGTCCAGCTCCACGTTGTCGCTCTCAGCCATCTCGGCGAGCCACGCGATCAGCTTGTCGTAGGAGTCCACGGAAGGGCCGCGCAGTTCTTCCACACGGTTCAGGACGTTGGCTGTGAACAAAGGAGGAAACAGTTTATACAGGTTCTGCAGGAAATAATAGTGTTTTAACTGTGGTATATTAAGGAGACTCAAACACCTTGTGTACATAAAACAATAATGGTTCAGCTGTGATAATGATCATACATAATACAGATGTACACGTTTCGACAAATTTCTTCATCAGTACAAATGTAGATGATATATTTCTAAACCTGTATCCTACACACAAAAATGAGAGAAAAGAATACGACTCTTATTAAAATTGGGCGCAAGTCTCTGTAAAAAAAACAAAGTTCAGAAGAACAGAAAGGAAGTGAGGAGGCAGTACAATTGGATAACCAAAGAGGAAAAAAAAAGACACGACAGCTGTGTGTAATAGTGAATTTGGCTTAATACCGTATGGAATCAACGTACCAAATCTTGTTATTAATTTATTTTCCCATGTAAGTGTGTGTCCCATTAATCTACTTGACAGCTTCATCGCCGTTGGCACAACCCTTATCATGAACTTGTTGGTTTAGAACTGCTAATGCATTTAACACTCATGTTACGTAGAGTTTACAATTCAAGAAACTTCAGATCCTAACAGCGGAAGATATTCGAAAACGCCACGTCAATATTTTAATGGCGTTGCTTGCGTCGGTATCAACCCCACGTGCTCCGCCACCCTCCACCCCGTTCCACCCTCTCTCCACCCCCTCCACCCGAAACACTTTTCTCATCTATATAATTCGTCAAAAGAAGTAGGGCAAACAAGACGCAGGCTAAAATAGATACGCCAGAGCAAACAAGACGCAGGCAAACCCTCCCCTCCCTTCCCTTACCTGCCCATCGTTGGTCTCGAGACATGCGCACTGCGGTGGAGCTACCGCCCCCCCCCCCTGCACCACCCTCGCTTGCCAGCCAGTGACGTATCATGAAAAGGGAAAAGGGGGGGGGGGGGGCGTAGCAACATTGGCATTCTTCAATGTACGTAACTTGAGTTCACGTTTTTGTCAAGTAACTTTACTTGATGGAAAACCCTCCCTTCCCTCTCCTGCCCATCGTTGGTCTCGAGACCTGCGCACCGCGGTGGAGCTACCGCCCCCCCCCCCTGCACCACCCTCGCTTGCCAGCCAGTGACGTATCATGAAAAGGGAAAAGGGGGGGGGAGGGGCGTAGCAACATTGGCATTCTTCAATGTACGTAACTTGAGTTCACGTTTTTGTCAAGTAACTTTACTAGATGGAAAGTTCACGCATTGCTGTCGCCATCTAGGATGATATATTTTCTCAGGATCAGCCGTCGGTTGTTAAACGCCAGAGAGTAACTAAACACAACATCATCTTTTTGTTACCATAAGAACACATCAGAAACAACAAACACACTTTATGGGTCAAGTGCCAGGTAGCCACCCCCAGAGGCGAGAGGGGCTAATGGTTTCTCGCTGCAAATGGCTTTTTTTAAAGGACACTTGAAACATTTGGGTCTCACTAAAGGGAGCTAATGCCAACCTATGAAAAAAAATATATAAAGTTACCGCCCGCGGAGGTGGGATTTCTCTGGTCCAAGGACAAGGAAAGTTGTATACATCACTTTGAGTGATCCATTAAAGGGCTTTCTGGGTGAAGTTTAAAACAGGGAGAATAAAAGAGACGAGGACAACAGACAATACAGAAGTTAGGAAACAGGGAGAAGGCAGGAGGCAATGACAAAAGACAAGACAGAAGTTAGGTAACAGGGACGATACAAGAGACAATGATAAAATTCAACAACAGGAGCTAGGAAACAGAGACAATACAGGAGACAGTGACAAAAGACAACACAGACGTTAGGACACACAAGTTAACGAAGAGCTGAATGTGGTCTACGGAGATAGAGGAGATTGCCAGGGACAAAGCATTTCCCACCAAGGAACGGTTGATTGCATTTCCCACCAAGGAACGGTTGATTGCATTTCCCACCAAGGAACGGTTGATTGCATTTCCCACCAAGGAATGGTTGATTGAGAGCCTGAGTTCTTTCGTCGGAAACCTTTTTTTGTTTCCCGACATGGTTAACAATTTCATTCACCAGTTCTGCAAAGTGTCTGGAATGAATGAATTAAGAAACTACAATCTGATGAGGACATAGTCTTAAGACATCAATCGCCAGCTATTGTCTGCAATGAATGAATTAAGAAACTACAATCTGATGAGGACATTGTCTTAAGACATCAATCGCCAGCTATTGTCTGCAATGAATGAATTAAGAAACTACAATCTGATGAGCACATTGTCTTAAGACATCAATCGCCAGCTATTGTCTGCAATGAATGAATTAAAAAACTACAATCTGATGAGCACATTGTCTTAAGACATCAATCGCCAGCTATTGTCTGCAATGAATGAATTAAGAAACTACAATCTGATGAGCACATTGTCTTAAGACATCAATCGCCAGCTATTGTCTGCAATGAATGAATTAAAAAACTACAATCTGATGAGCACATTGTCTTAAGACATCAATCGCCAGCTATTGTCTGCAATGAATGAATTAAGAAACTACAATCTGTTGAGCACATTGTCTTAAGACATCAATCGCCAGCTATTGTCTGCAATGAATGAATTAAGAAACTACAATCTGATGAGCACATTGTCTTAAGACATCAATCGCCAGCTATTGTCTGCAATGAATTGCGAATTGCCAGTAAATGAATTCACTTGAACAAACAAAATACATCTATGGTATACTACACCGAAGCCAGTGAGATAGTATACTTAAGACGGGGAGATAATATACTTAAGACGGAGAGATAATATACTTAAGACGGAGAGATAATATGCTTAAGTCAGGGAGATAATATGCTTAAGTCAGGGAGATAATATGCTTAAGTCGGGGAGATAATATGCTTAAGTCGGGGAGATAATTTACATAAGTCGGGGAGATAATATGCTTAAGTCGGGGAGATAATATGCGTAAGTCGGGGAGATAATATGCGTAAGTCGGGGAGATAATATGCGTAAGTCGGGGAGATAATATGCGTAAGTCGGGGAGATAATATGCGTAAGTCGGGGAGATAATATGCGTAAGTCGGGGAGATAATATACTTAAGTCGGGGAGATAATTTACTTAAGTCGGGGAGATAATATGCTTAAGTCGGGGAGATAATTTACTTAAGTCGGGGAGATAATTTACTTAAGTCGGGGAGATAATTTACTTAAGTCGGGGAGATAATATGCTTAAGTCGGGGAGATAATATGCTTAAGTCGGGGAGATAATTTACTTAAGTCGGGGAGTAGGGGTGATAGTATAATCAAGTATAGAGGAGTACATGCCACAGCATCGCAACATTAGGATGTGTCATCATTCACGTCTCAAACATCCCAACATTAGGATGTGTCATCATTCACGTCTCAAACATCCCAACATTAGGATGTGTCATCATTCACGTCTTAAACATCCCAACATTAGGATGTGTCATCATTCACGTCTCAAACATCCCAACATTAGGATGTGTCATCATTCACGTCTCAAACATCCCAACATTAGGATATGTCATCATTCACGTCTCAAACATCCCAACATTAGGATGTGTCATCATTCACGTCTCAAACATCCCAACATTAGGATGTGTCATCATTCACGTCTTAAACATCCCAACATTAGGATGTGTCATGATTCACGTCTCAAACATCGCAACATTAGGATGTGTCATCATTCACGTCTCAAACATCCCAACATTAGGATATGTCATAATTCACGTCTCAAACATCCCAACATTAGGATATGTCATCATTCACGCCTTAAACATCCCAACATTAGGATATGTCATCATTCACGCCCCAAACATCTCAACATTAGGATGTATCATGATTCACGTCTCAAACATCCCAACATTAGGATGTGTCAGCATTCACGTCTCAAACATCCCAACATTAGGATGTGTCATCATTCACGTCTCAAACATCCCAACATTAGGATATGTCATCATTCACGTCTCAAACATCCCAACATTAGGATGTGTCAACATTCACGTCTCAAACATCCGAACATTAGGATGTGACATTATTCACGCCTCAAACATCCCTACATTAGAATGTGTCAGCATTCACGTCTCAAACATCTCAACATTAGGATGTGTCAGCATTCACGTCTCAAACATCACAACATTAGGATGTGACATTATTCACGTCTCAAATATCTTCGCGTGCACACCGTCTCATCACGTGATGTCTCATAATGCACCTAATTACAAACGACCGAACGCTGTGAAGTCACCCCACCGAGCACGTGCTGTCAGTCACCTCCCGTGAAGTCACCCCCACCGAGCACGTGCTGTCATACGACATCTTAGACAAGTCACTCATCCAACAGCCAGGTGCGGGGGGGGGGGGTTTGGGGACGGGGGGGATGTTGTCGGGATAATAAATGGCGGCTAATGAGCTGACATTAGCATGTGTCAGGCGCCCCAGTTGGGTAACGGCTAATGAGGGCACCTCGCTCCCGTCCCCCGGGGGGCCAGCTCGCCAGACGTCGACATTTCGATCTCGCGTGACCCTAACGCCTTTTTAATGGTGGGTTCGCATGGGGGTCGATCGCGCAACCC